TGACATTGATACATTACCATAATTTATCGTACTTATTTCATGCTTTACACTGCCCATGGTGTTAACACGCCAACTACTTATTAAGCATATCAATAATCAACATACGAACCTAGAGTCATGGAGACCACTCAACTCATAATCTACTTGAACATGCACAAAACTTGCATATACAAGAACGCGCGTGGCCTTGCCACAAATTCCAAGTGTTACACACTCAGTTTCTTGAAGAGAATTTCACATCCTCAAACAGAGCACCATCACGTTTAAGTAATGGCGTAAGGCATCTTACCTTACAACAAAAATGACCGGTGTTCCCTAGGAGACACGCTAGGTCGATAAAAGTCTTTCGCCGAAAGACCCTCAGAATGCTACTTCAACTCAGCCAACTCTGGTGGCGACATCTGGTTGGGAGCTAATAACAAAGCCCCACACCAGGCAACAATTCAATGGAGAATTCTATCTCCCTCTATGGCAGAACTCAGGAATCTCCTCAGGACACACCTCGAGGAATTCCTTCACCACAGGACTGCCAGTGAGATCCTCCTGTGTCCCACTCACCCAACCTCCCAACAGACATATCTGAATGCCCCTGCACTCAAGGCTCTCCTTGCCTGTAAAAAGATATATAAGGCGAGGATCTGGCTGTGGAATCACACGGAGACATCACCACTCGCTAGGATTATTCCTGTTGCTATTATGCTTTTAGTTTCATGTTATATTATTGAATTGAGACTTTGTTGGGCCTTGTTTCCTTATTTGGTGAGCATGAGGATTGTCCATGCCACATTTGATTATGTATCATTGTTTAGATTTGAGTTGTATAAACTATCAGGGTTGTCCGGCTTACGTGTTGTAGTGCCGTGACTAGAGACTCAGTTAATGATCTTATTTATGATATGTTGTTATTTAGTATAGATATCTAGCTTTTGCATTTACATACAGGCAATGTTTTGGAAATGAATTAAGTAATTCAACTTGATAATGATAATGACGTCATAATTGAAAAGAAAAAGAATATTTCGCATTTTTAATTAAGCGTGGCTTAATAAGATGGCATGTTAACAAACTAGGTATACACGGAGTGTTACAAAACCCTATCTTGTTCCCTAGCCAGTTGGACCACACTTGTATACATCACATGAGATATGAGTTGTAGTATTTGGCTCGTTGAGCATAAGATATGTTGTCATGATTTAACTGCCCTTAACATGAACATGCATTGCAATTACTGCTTTTGAACTTATATATATACTTGTAAGTGAGCTTGGGGCGGAAGAGTCTTGTAGGACCCTTTGTCTTATTGAGATTTCTTGTTAGAAATCTCACCCCGTGTTGGGACACATTTTCAGGTATAGGTACCTCTGAGGTTGAGACCTTTGGTGGCAGGAGGCCGGAGTTGAGCTGATTGATGCATGCTTACTGTTTCTCTCTATATCACATGACTATGTCTGCTTTACATTTTATGACTATTGTATTTGAGACTTGATGATCTTTTTGGTTTATTTGGTGAGCATGGGGGTTGTCCATGCCACACTGTTATCAGACACGTTTGTTTATGTTGAGTTGTATAATATATCAGGATATGGTTCGGTCTACGTGTTGTAGTTCCGTGACTTGATACTATTTATGTTATGAGTATATTCAGTGTAGTTATTATTGCAATTTACATACAGGCAATATTTTGAAAAAGAATCAGTAATCCACTTGGTTAATTAATGATGATTTCATAATTGAAAAGAAAAAGTTAGCTTCCGTATTTATTTAGCTGCGCCATTACCATATATATGTTTAATACGTTGGGTGCACACATGGTGTTACATGAGTCACGCCTAAATTAGGTGTGAATGTCTCCTGAGTCACGCCTAAGTTAGGCGTGACCATTCAAGTCCAAATTAGGCGTGAAAAAGTGCTATAGATCCGTAAATAGTTTCAAAATAACTATATATTCATAATTATTTCTTAAAATAGTAATATTTTAATATATATTTTTGCCTATTTCCTATATATGCACATTTTCATTTATGATTTTGAGATAGTTTTGTGCCCAGAAAAAACTTAGAATAATATATTGTTTAGATTTAACAAATCAAAATGTATTATCAAATAAAATATTTTTACATACGAGAAAGTAAATAAGCTCCCCGTTGATGATAGATGATTAAAATTTTTTAAGTTTGATGAATAATGATAATTTTAGTTATTAAAAAAAATTGGAAAGTAAAATTGTTCAATCATAATGAATGTAAAAAGTCTATGGCAAAAAAAATTCTCGTGTTGCAGAAATTCCTGCAATAAATAAATAATTATGTACTACGAGTAATATATAGTTATAAATTTCTGTAAAAAACAATTAATTATGTACTACGGGTAGTACATAGTTATAATATTAAAAAAAAATGCATACTCCTTATAACTATGTATTACCTGTAATATATAGTTTTTTTTTTTTTTTTACAAAAATTCCTGCAACATGAGAAAAAAGAGACCACTATAGTGTAACAACATTTTTAACAAATTGATGTATGAATATACTCCTTAATATTTTTCCCTTAAGAGACTTCTTTCACAAATTACAATAGCCTAGATGGACTTTCATTTTTGGTGAAGATCAAAACCCCAATGTCACGAGGCCCAAATTAGAAATGTGCAAGCTACTTGGTCCATACCAATTAGTTGTGCCACAAGCCACCATAATGTGATCACAAGGCAGCATAAAATCAAATCTCCCAAGTCTAGAAGAATTTTAACTGCAAATTGGTGAGAGAAAAACACGATGTACATTTGGGTGTATATGATTCATTATTTAAAAGAGACAAAGGTAGTTTTTATTTTTTATTTTCCCCCTTTCTTGGGGGAAAGGTGAGGAAAAATCTTGAAGGGGCGATAAAATTATTGTTTATAACTAGAAGATCAAGGATTCAAAGGGTAAAACCGTGTACAATTGACAATATTTTGACCTAACTAGTCGAAAAGTGATAATTAAAGCTGGTAAGTAATGGTCCTGAATGATTTTATATTATATATATATAAAAAAAAAAAAAAAAAATCCTTACCTGGTTTAGGAAAAGGTAGAGAGGTACTCGTTGAATGGCAAAGGTAGTTTGGGTGAAGGAAAAGTAAATGAGGATGAATAATGGTAGAGGATAGTGACGTGCGCCGACTAGGTTACTTTATCCCATTCTTTCTTCTTTCACTAGAACTGCACTTTAGCAGTGTTTGTTGTACACATATATATATCTCCATCTTCCCCACCTTCATTCCTCATTCATACTTTAGTGACATCATTGCACTATCTACACTTCTATTTCTTCAAACTAAAACCCCTTTCCCTTACGGTTTCAAACTTCTTCTTACACAATTACAAATTTACAATGACATGAAATTAATTTAATTTAATCTTCGGGTACTGAATTTCACATACCAATCAAGAGAGAGAAAGAAGCATTTCTTGTTTTGATTGGTACTGCCAAAAACAATGAGTTTCTTTTTAGGGAAAGGTCATCATGGTATGGAACCACATCACATAGGGAACATGCAATATAATATCTAATCCTGGGAAACACAAGGCTCACGTTAGACACCAAAACTACCACTTTTAATAAATTGGACAAGGAAAAAATTCAGTTGTTGAGTTTCCCATCTATCCTTCTATGAATAATTAGCTACAACTATACTTCGTAGCAACGCATTCATCTCTCTCTCTCTCTCTCTCTCTCGCCTTGCTTTCTCTATCCTCTTTGTTCTGTTTAACATTTCTATCTGAAAAAGACATCAATTTCATAACTTGTTGAATGTCCCTCATCCTGACATCATTTCTGGCTCTTCCTTTTCATTCTACTCCTATTTATATTATGCTTACGTAATCGTATATATGATTGTTTCTTGTTCGTATATTTTTTGGTCTTCTATCATCACATACCAAAAGCAAGAGCATTAAATACATGCTACACACACATACATATAAGAAGGGAAAATTAGAGAGAGTAGTTTGAACTTGTTATTTTATTCTATGATGTCTATATATAAAGGAAAAGATTAGCATTGGTGTCTAAGAAAATACAGTAGTAGGTTGTTTTGGTCCAAGCATTCAAGTATTTGATTGAACATTTGGTTTTGAAACGAAAATGTTCTGTTAATTTATTATATTTGTTTATATATATATATATATATATATATATGAAAAATTATTCTCTCATGTAATAGGAGAGAGTTATCTTATGTTGTAGATACATCGATAAATGTGTCTTTTATTTATTTATTTTTTATTTTTTAACACATGGTGGGACCACCATGTGTTGAGTCTATGACATGAGAGGAGTATTTCCTACAACATATATTAGATGCTCCCTGTGTGTATATATATATATATATAAACACATATAATCAATATTATTGAGAATTTTATGATAAATTTTTGCTCATACTGATCTCTGATTCAATGTGGTAGTGTGTTTCCAAGAAAGAACATGACAGAAAATACCCCCAAGAAACCTAAAGGCTACGGGTGCATTTACCTAGGTGTTATGAGGAATATTTTTATTTGAGTCACATGTTCATCTAACTAGAGAGACTGGCTGAGGAAATTTTGATATATAGGAAATCACATTCACTCAAACTAAAAAAGAACTCTGCTCATTGGCTTTCAGGTAAGAAAGAGTGAAGAACAAGAGCAAAAATCGGAGCCAGTTAACAAGAACTATACAATATTATGAAAATTTGGCATATATCTTGAAGATTTATCACCTTCTTTTTTGTGATTTATGGCTTTTAACACTTGCAAATTAGTTTGTTACGCACATTGGATCAACCATTCAATACCTAGAATAATCAAGAAATAAGATAGCTATCAAACTTCAATGCCAAATTACAAAAACACACAAAATGAGATAAGATCCTTAAAATGCAGAATTAATATAAATAATTAAAACAAATATGGAGCTTCTGACTTGCAATGCTTGCCATATATTTGTTTTATAAATTGCACCTGGCTAGGTATATAGCTAGAAATTCCCGAGTCGAAGCTCCAAATCTATCTTCTCCTCTTGGTGTTTAAACAACCCTATTCCTAATTCCAACGTAATGTTTTGCTCATTACTCTTGAAAACCTTGTGCTCGTCCTCATCAACATAACCCTGACTCATTTCCTCAACACCGAAAGTACTTCTTGTGTTCTTACTCATCTTAATTATTTCCTTGCTTTGAGGACACAAAAGAGGAAACTGGTGAGAAGATGTGAGTCTTGGTTTCTTATCTCCACTGGTAGAAGCTGGAGAGGGTGAAGAAGAAGAAGACAAAGTCAGACATGGACTATAAAGTGGAGAAGGATGTGTGTTATTCAAAAACTCATGATCAGATAAAGGAGATTGTGAAGAGGGTGAAAGAAGAGTTGGGTTATTAGGGTTAGTGCTAGGGTTAGGTTTAGGGCACTCAGAAACCCATGAAGATAAAGATGATCTCAATCTTGCCCTATCCCTTCTATGAACATTCATGTGTCCACCCAAAGCTTGAGCAGACCTGAACTCTCTCTTGCAAAAGCTGCAGGCATAGTTTCTTGCTGGCCATGAAGTTCCCCATGAATGCTCCTCAAAGCCAAAGCTATCTTCTCTATGAGTGTTTCGGTTCAGATAGTTTCCTTCCATGGAGCTTTCTTTATGTATTGTTGTTTTTTTCAGTCCAAACCTTGTTAGCTCCATGTAGAGAGAAGAAAAAATAATCAGGTATTATTAAAGAAAAATAAAAAAATAAAAAAACATTTGACTTTGTTCCCATAGAATAAATTGAGTGCAAGAACGTGTGGATCTCTTACAAGAGAACTTCAGAGACTTCACAGTTGAGCAAGAGAGAAAAACTGATCCAGGAATAGCTTCATTCTGAAGCTAAATATCATGTTTTCTGAGGCAGAAAGTGAAGATCAGAACAGGTGTACTTCATCTGCCACTGTCTGCAGCTTCTGTATTTGGATATTACTTAGCAAAATAAAATGGAGAAAATGTGTGAAAGTAGTATTTCCCTTTTGCCTCAACCTGCTGGCAGATGGCACCTAACGTTGATGATACCAAAGTTTTAAGTTGCGGTACGGGTATTACGATTGCTGCAGTGTGAATTGCTCACAATTTTGCATAAATGATATTGGAATTATCTATATTATTGTATAATTTATAATAACTTATAGTTTTTATATTTGAAAAGTTATTTTTTTTTCTACTTAGTCACATTGCTGACTTGTAAAGTGAAAAAAAGAGTAACTTTTCATATTTACACAAAATCTTACAAGTAAGACTTTGTGTAAGTCACTGAAAGGACTTAAGTTTATGTCCTTTTAAAGGACATCCACCGAACCCTAAATATGTATGGGATAGGTTTAACACCTCGTGTATACCCGGATTGTTATCATGTTACGGTATTAAGCGCAGTTAAATAAATGCGAAGCTAACTTGTTCTTTTCAATTATGACGTCATTATTATTAACCGAGTTGATTACTTATTTCTTTTTCAAAACATTACCTGTATATAAATTGCAATTAAACAACTAGCTGAATAACCTCAAAATATAACTATGTATCTAATCACGGTACTACAACACGTAGACCGAGCAATATCCTGATACATTATACAACTCCAACATAAACCAACAAGTCTGAAATCAACGTGGCATGGACAACCCCCATGCTCTCCAAATAAAAAGCATAACATCAAGCTCAATACAATAGTATAAGAGGAGAATTAGGCATAATCATGCAAAATAGCTAAATCATAAGCATGCATCAGTCAACTCAACTCCGACCTCCTGCCGCCCGAGGTCTCAACCCCTAGGTACCTAAACCTGAAAATGTGCCCCAACACGGGGTGAAATCTCTAAAAAAAATTCTCAGTAAGACAAGGGGTCCTCAAGGATCTCTCCACCCCAAGCTCACTTACATGTGCAATATAAGTTCTAAAACAGTAAAACAGTATAAGTTCCAAAATTTTGTGCAATGCAGCATATATCCATGTCATGTGTGTCAACATTCTACTGGCCAGAGAACAAAATATAGGGATTACATACGTCTACAACCTACAGTACAAGGACCCCGCTTGTACCTCACCCACAGAATCACCATCTTGTATGTCGCCACATACTCAGGCTTACAGTCTAGGTGGAACACCACATACATATCATATGACACTTGCATTCAATATCACAGCTCAATAGCATATCAATAATCATTTCATATTTTCACAAATGCACAGCATCCATATAACCATCCCTCCATGAGGTATGGTGGAACCAACAATGGAAAAAATCGAGGACACGAAAGCTTACCTGTAGTGCCAAAATCTCTATCCAAAGGCTCGGTAAAAACAAGCAACCCAACAGTCTCACCACAAGTCAATTGCAATCTGTTCGTTATGAATACACAATTTAATATTCCGAAATCTTAATTTCGTAACCATTAAACAAGGTCTTCTCTTTCGTTTTCATCCTTTCTAATTCATAATTATCACGCATTAAGTCCCACAATTAAAGGTATTAATGTTTTCCAACAGTAACATTGACTTCCTAGGGCCTCATGCCCAAATGGGGACTTTCCCACGCAATAAAAACTGGTTTCTGGTCATTCTAACAGGTAGGAATCGATTTCTGTAACATCCCGAGCGCTGACGAGGGTGGGGAGTGATCGCCGGTGCAAAGAGGCACGAACAAGGAGCGGCTCCTGACAGGATTCCAGCGGGGGGTTACATGCGTGAAAAAATCGAATCGACACCCGAAAGAGAGGGATTCCAAAGACTGTGCAAGTATGAGAGTGCACAGTTTGGGATAGCTTATAAGAATTAATTGGTACTACCTATACTAACAAGATGCATCTATTTTTCGGTAACCTAGAAAGGAAGAACTCCATAGTTAAGCGTGCTTGACTTAGGGCAATTCTGGGATAGGTGACCTCCTGGGAAGTTTTTCCGGGAAGTGTGCGAGTGAGGAAAAAGCTTACTGGAAACTCTTGTGTTAGTATGTGGGGATAGTCATTGATTCTTGAAGCGGCCGGGCGTTACAAGTGGTATCAGAGCAAGGCCTCTCATCCAGTACGGTATGGTTCGAGGACGAACCAGGCGAAAGCTGGTGGGCATGTAACATCCCGAGCGCTGACGAAGGCGGGGAGTGATCGCCGGTGCAAAGAGGCACGAACAAGGAGCGGCTCCTGACAGGCTTCCAGCGAAGGGGTTACATGCATGAATGAATCGAATCGACACCCGAAAGAGAGGGATTCCAAAGACTGTGCAAGTATGAGAGTGCACAGTTTGGGATAACTTATAAGAATTAATTGGTACTACCTATACTAACAAGATGCATCTACTTTTCGGTAGCCCAGAAAGGAAGAACTCCATAGTTAAGCGTGCTTGACTTGGGGCAATTCTGGGATGGGTGACCTCCTGGGAAGTTTTCCCGGGAAGTGTACGAGTGAGAAAAAAGCACACTGAAAAGTCTCGTATTAGTATGTGGGGATAGTCATTGATTCTTGAAGCGGCTGGGCGTTACAATTTCCAAACATTGAGGTTCAAGGTTCGGTTTTTCTCAAAAACGGATGTTCAACAACACTAAACATGCATAAATTAACAACCTTTAACTTGATTAACCAAAGTTCCCTCTTTTAGTGACTTAATTAAGCTAAATCATGGATTTCAAGATGAATGATGATGGTATATCTATGGAGTCTCAAAAATAGCAGAACAATGTGCTCTCAGAGCTCTCAAAACAGTCCCAAAAATCAGATTTACACAAGGCCACAAAAATGGATGATCAAAGTTTGGTTCTTTCTCAACCAAAATGGAACCTTGAAGCTTCAAATGCCAAGTAAATGGCCTCCTCCCCAAGAACTCAGAAACTCAACCCCAAAGCCTCACCAAACTCAAAAGCTCAACTCAGAAATGGAGCACCTTTCAACCTCCCAAGGACTTTTTGTGAAGGAAGCAAGAGAAAATATGGTCTCTTGGAGCTTCTTTGGAGGGAAGAAGGTGGAGGAAGGTGGCTGCCACCAAAAGCTCAGAAAATGTCATGTAGGAGGAGAGAAATCTGACCTAGGGAAGTGTGCATTTAGTATTTATAGTACGCTTAAGTTTAATTCGTTAGTATTAGCGCTAATAGCCACGCTTATCATTTTAATCTCAAAATTCATATCCTGAACCTAACCATTTTTCTAAGAGTTGTCATATTTTTATTATAATTTTTCACAACACTTTTTCAGTACGCATTTTCACGCAGTCGGTATTAGTTCTGACATCAGTTCTCATTATTTCTACTTCAAACTTGATATTCCAGTCCTAAATATTATTCTAGGAATATATACATACTTTTTATAATTTTTCGGGATACTTCACCGGTACGCACTTATACCGCGAAGCAGAACCAGTATCTGTACTTTTCGTCAGAAAAGCGACTCTCAACGTTCCTAAGCCCTTATATTAATTATTTAATCTCACTCATAATTATTCAAGGTCAATTATGGAATTTATTTCCTAAACTCATAATTAATCATTTAAATTCTTAATTTATCGATGCAGGTTTTTACAATAGGATCATTTGACACTGGTGTCAAATTTAAAGTTTGACACCTCATCTGAGAGCCGTTAGATAAAAAAAGATCAATGGTGTCACATGCTTACAAATCAGAGTCGTTGATCTTTTTTGATCTAATGGTTCGCAGATGACGTGTCAAACTTTAAATTTGACACTGATATCAAAGGATCCTATCCATATATATATATATGTGTGTGTGTGTGTGTGTTTTTAATTTTCTGCAGTTACTGCAAAAAAAGGTTGCCGACACTCTCACAAAATAAGGAGTGGAACCACAAAAGAAGTAGTGGATCCCATAAAAATAGTGTTCATTTCAAAAGTTACACTATGTACTCAGGGAAGTACATAGTGTGTGACAAATATTTTTTCGATATATTAATTTATATATATATGAGAAGGGCTATATTGACAATTTTTTTTTTACAAACTTACAAATTACACTATGTCTGACCGGTAAGACTTTACTCAAGAGTGTCTTACCGGTCAGACATAATGTAGTTTGTAAATAAAAGTTTGTAAATATAACATTTTCCTATATATATATATATATATATATATATATATATATATATATATATATATATATATATATGAGATAGATTATTCTGGCTACTCTTATTTTGCCTATTTTTATCTACCTCTCTCAACACCGTTAGATTATAATCTCATCCAATGATGGAGATTTGTTGGATAAAATCAACCCTTTTACCCCTTCTTCTTTCCCATTGCCCCTCATCATTTCTCTCTCCTCCATTTTCCCTCTTCCTCGGCTGCGGCAATCATCCTTCTTGATACACTTGTAATTGACATATTCAAAATCAGAAGACAACACGATAAATTAGATTGGGGTATGAATCACTGAGAACAGTTTGGAACCTCAAATCTGGATTTGGACGATCCTTTTTTTTGTGTGAATAAATTGGACGATCCTTTCTTATGGTTCATAAATGAAACATATCAATATATATTTATTCATAATTGTTTAGTTCTATTAATTCATACCCTCACAAAAAGTAATGCTCACAAAAAGTAATGATATGGGATGAAGCCATGAATCTGATCCTTATTTTGTATACAACATAATAT